AAGAACATTTTACAGTATCAGGAGCCAATGCTGTTATCTCAAATATTTCAGGGCAGAGGCTAGTGTGTAAAAGGTGATCAGCCATAGCCTGATTGAAACCTAAGCTGAAACTTTTTTTTTTGTTAAGATAACAAAAGCATGAGGGGACTAGAACTGACCAATAACATTAGTTCGGAGGAAATGGTCCCCAAAGCTTTATCTGAGCCATTGCAGAGATGGTCATGTGTGGGTGAGGCTGTGGAATTCTTCCTGAATTATTGGAGACTGAGCCCATTACTCTGTGTGTTTAGGCAGCTTTACTGGATATGGACCATTGAAAACATATAACGGTTTCAATTGTGTGGCTGCTAATACTGAGTGTTACCACGAACAGCCCATAGGACCCATGGCTTCTGTGGAATGAAAGACTCGGGGCAAATAGGAGTTTCAGTATGCAGCCCTGAGTTTAGCATTTAATGGGCTTGGCTTTATTTAAAAGTCTATGAATCTCCCGCTCGTTGAAAGTTTATCTGGGATGCTTGGGTCTTAGGGAATGTCTTATTTCCAGTTCATCTCGAAAAGTGGCTCTTCTCGTGAGCGGGGATCTGCTGCTTCCCTTGCTGGGCGCAGCACGGGACATGGGTAATTTCAGTCGTGCAACCGCGTACAAGCACGGCACCCACACAGCTCAGTGTTGAGAGAGAAGTGTGCAGGTCACGGCTCTAATCATTTTGTGATTGAGTCATACTGCCTCGATTTCAAGAACTTCAGCTTTGAAAATGCCAGTCTAGCTCCTCCTGATCACACATGGAGGCCAGACAGATTTGGAGATTAAATGACACCCTCATGACTCGCGCTTATTTATAGTAGGTATGAAAATGTTTAGATGTCAGAAAGCTGTCTCAGTGAGACTGAGTACCAGAGATGCAGAAAGAGTTGGCCCTGGAAAGTAAACCCTTTGGCGCAGACTGGGTTTCCAGTGACCCAGTATTATTTGACCCTGGGGTCTGCTCTGGAAGAGTCCTTGTGTACAGAAGCCGGCTGTCAATAACATTCGTTTTCGCTTGTTTCTGGAACCCACTCTTAAGGATGGATGAATACCCACAAATTCTGCCGTAGTCAGTGTTCCCATTTCTTCCAGCTTCCAACAGTAAACATATGTGTCCACACACATTTTCTATTCTGAACCAATGGGAACCCGTGTTCGATGAGCATAATACAATCTGGAGAAAAACAGAGGGGAAAGAACCTCCCTTATTCTATCCACTGCTGCCCCACTTTGAGGAACACCTAAGCCAGGTAATGGTTGCCGTGTGATGGGATAACGGGAAGGGCTGTCATATGCTTCTCTTCAGAGAGAGTTTCTGATTCTGTGAAAGCAATTGATATTTGAACCACTTCCGAGGTTTCTTTTGAATAATTAAAATCCATTTGAGAGCCCAGTATTTGCCAGTTTGCATGGCATTAGAGAGTCGCCAATTGGCATCGTTTTGGTGCCTCTTCTATTTGTTTCCGTTTTGAGTTGGGGAATATTTTTGTATTCCCGGAGAAGCTGTTCTGAAATATGTCATCCGCTTCACATTTTCCCTTCTTGGGCTCGTATTTTTATGCAATACGAAAATAAATAAATAAAACACTTACCGGGGCCACAGGATGGTCATAATATTGGAAAACTGGCTCTCTGCCAAGTTAACCAAGACATGGCGAAGATATAGCCAATTTTTGTCATTCTGAATTTAATATTTGGCTCATTTTTTAGCATAAATTTTGCACTAAGTTGATTTATTTTCATTCAAAAAAAAACCATGATACTATTTTGGCATACTCTTTTTATAGACTATACTCTGCTTTACAACTGTTCACTGTATAATTGTATCTCGCTGCAGTACCTGGATTAAGGAATTAAGAATTTTTCCCATTGATTTATACAATGCTCAATGAGTGCAGTGCTCAAAAGGAATACACTCCATGATTCTTCTGCAGAAGATGGCGGGGCTCAGCTTTTGACAATGGAGAAACAAACACTCAAAGTTGGAATGGCCAGCAGATTATTATCATACACACATATACATATAGGGTACCACGGTAACAGAGCTCGTGCTTGTATTTACCCGGCATCACGTTTTCTTCTATGTCCTCTATACCCCCTGCTTTGGTATGTAATACCAATCACACAGTGCAGTAGCAAATCAGAAGATTTAACTTGGACTGACTTTCACTCATGGCTCCTGTGAGTTTCCTGGGAGAAACCTGGGTGAAGGAAGTTATTGAAATACTTAGAAGAGGGGTCTGTTTCGGGTAGATGACCCTAAGCTTCTATGACAAATTAGCTAGTATTCTTCTACCTTAGAAGAGGTTTGGAGAAAGCCCATTGGAGTGCAAAATTGAGTTTGGACAGAGCACATTTGAAATGCGTGTAGGGAGACCCACTGGTGATAGCGGTGTGCACCTAACAAAGCCTTCATCCGTGTAGAGCAGCACACTGGTGATAGCCACGTGCACCTAATAAAGCCTTCGTCTGTGTAGTTCACTGCATGCTGCCCCTTGGTTCATGTGAATATGCAGATAGTTTCTTCTTGATTTCAGTAGAGTGAGACAGTACCAATGCTATTAACACCAAGTCAGGGTTTCTCTGATCATGCAAGTTAAAGATCTTCTGCCTTTTCCTCTACCTAATCTTCAAGGGAAAAGTCAAACAAAAAGAAGAAACATAGACGCACCCTCCTAGCAGAGGTGGGAGAAAGGAGCTTGTTCGAGGAACACTTTCTCGGCTACTCACCTAGGCCTCCTTGTAATCTCGGTGATTTCCAAACAGTTGCCAGCTAGCAGAGTAAACCTGTGCTTGTGGGAAGAAGCCAGGGAAGTTGATTCCAGAGTCCTCTTGCTTTTTAGACAGGTATGCTGTTAGCAGCTAGACTTGCAAGGGTTTGTGCTTGTATGCTCATCTTTGTATGCTTCTGTTTGATCATATAAAACTGTTAGCTATAACAACCTCAAAGAACCAAACAACCATGGCTATGCCATCTAAAAATTAAAAATACAGAATGCAGGTTGACACAGGCAAATTTGGACACCATGGCATTTAAATGAGGGATGAGATGCACATAGCACTGAGGCCTTTCCCATCTGGTACCTGGAAGGAAGGACTTTGAACTCACACCTGTAAACAAGCCATTCTTTGCATCAAGCTATCATGATAGTCAATGTTCTAAAGTACATTCAGACACACCAACATGTCTCACCTTTAAAATACAAAAATGTTGTCATTAAAAGTCCTTCCAGGGAGGTGTATAGTCTCATTCTTTTGAGTACAGAGAGGAGCAGCTGAAGTGGGGCAGTGTAGGACCGGGGAGGTCCAGCAGCCCCGGTAGCCGCCTTTATGAGAGACAATGGAGCTTGTGAGTCCCCCTCGTCTCTCCAGGCAGCTAGCTTAGGTCCTGGTTAACCGAAACTGTTGTGTAATTGTTCTGAGGTTGAGAACAAAATGCTGAATTAAACTGTTCCCACTGCAATAATTGTGTGATTATAGCATTTATGTCGCTGGCCAAAGGAACAGTCATTAGGTTTGGAAGACTTACCAAAACCGCAAGTACAAAAAAAGATGCAAATCACATGTAAATTGCTGTTTAATACCTAGCGTAGATCCGCAATGCAGAGAAGAGTGGAGCATCTATCTAGTGAGGAGAGAAGATGCTGAAAGCGGTGATTGGACATTTGGTGCGATACTGTAACACTGAAATTATGAAGACATGGAAATGCATTCTCTTGCTCTTTTCACAATGCCCGTCTTCTTGGCCATATATTGATTTTGCCAACATCACCCCTTACCCTTTCTCCAGGCAAAACCAAAGCTCTGTCCTCCTTAACTTCTTTCATTAACTCTTTATGTTGGTCTAAAAGAATCTCAATCTCTCTCAATCTCTCTCTCTCTCTCTCTCTCTCTCTCTCTCTCTCTCTCTCTCTCTCTCTCTCTTCCCCCTCTAAATTTTGTGGTGGAAAGAATTTACGAACCAATGAAGTGTCTGGGTGGAGAAAGACTTAACGAGAAGACTATTATCGACAAATACTTAGAGAACAGCCAGGAGACCAGTTGTGTAAAACTGGAAGAGTAGTTGTGTTGGTCTTTGGAGCACTTAACGCCATAGTGGCTGGTTTCCCCTGCAATCTCATCCCTTCGTAGAACCGTTTTCAGACTAAAACGTGCTGAGGACTGTGTTGTTACCCACACGCCTGGTGCTTCAAACCAGGTGACCTGTCCGGGGAGAAGCTGTGTAGCCAGCAGCAAGCTTGTTCTAGACTAGTCAGTGTGAAGCAGTCATTTAGAAAGACAAATGATCTTTTTAAGGACAAGTGACACATTGACAGTTTTTTTTTTCTGGCCCAGCCGGGAACTTGTTTGGAGCACTTGAACAAAAATATGAATGGATGTATTTTTTAAAATTTGCATTTTGGGGATCCTGGTAAATTTCATTTTCTAGAATACACAAGGAAACCTATTGAAGGTAAATCCCACTGGCAATGTGAACAGAGGAGCAATGGCAGAAGGTCTAAGAGCTGAGGATGTTAGCTGTGTCTCCCTTTTCTGTAGACAGAAACATGGCCAACACCAAATGCTTCCTTTGCTCTTTCCCATTCGGGTTCGTGTCTCCTAACCGTTTGCATGTTGTGCTAGAGAATTATTTTCTTCATAACTTGGGTAGCATAACTATTGAAGAGTAGTCGCATTTCATAGAGAATAATGTGACATGAAATTTGTCATATTTGGAATCATTTGAAAATTACTTTGAGTGCAAGAAGACAGGTACTCAATAAAATCTAGTTAAAATTCTGAAGATTTTATTTTTTATCAACATTTCTTCTTTACAAGTTTAGATCAACTTCTGTGTTGCTTGCTATTAATATTTTATGTATTTAATTTCTCAGGTTTTCTTGCAGATTTCACATAACATTTCCACAGTACATGTGTGCTTGCTTCAAATGCGTGTATGGATTTGTTGATTTGTAGTTTTCTTCTGTTTCAGGAAAAGATTGATGTACGGCCCTCCATCATTCTCTTCAGCCCCGCATGCTGCCGTGCGATGCTCACATCTCTAAAACCACGGCCGTGTTTGTACCTCATTCTTCTTGGTAGTTTTCCACCACAGTGCTGTCTTCTAGTGGTACAGCTTAGACTCCCAAACCATTCCATAATATTAAATAACCTCTCTTTCCTGCCAACCACCCACACATTAATTAGAACAAACACAGATTTTAATGATCCCACTTGTCAATGGCAAAGCACACTAAAAAATAAAAAATAAAAACCAAGGATCGTATTTCAGAAATAAAGTTGTGTTTCTAAAGGAAATGTAGACTCACTTGCCGAGACAGCTGGTCATTGTCTAAAGTACATGGCATAGATCTTGAATTTCAGGCGTGTCTACTCCTTCGCAAAGTGAAAACGTTCCTGAGCTCCGTTTATAAAATCAGCAATTTTCCCCTCTGTCTAAAAACCAGAATTTTACATTATACTAAGACTTTGAAACGTTCCCTTCTTGCTACTTGTCTTAGTGTGTTGATAATTTTTGTATGTGCTGTGAGTGTCTTGAAAGGTTTTTGTGTTTTGTCGTTTGTATAGTCCTAAGTGTGTAAAGGCTACTGGTTCTTGCAATTTCCCCAATTTTTGGATCATAAGTTGTGAGGCTGCTTTTATTGGATGGACATAACATACTAAGCATTAGTCTATTTTGAATCAAAGCTTCTCGGGTTGTCCCTGAAAGGTCACTGTGCACACTTATTCCTTTGCTTCCGAGTCCATCTTGTGTGATAAGGTTTTTGTGTTGTTATTGTTCTTGTTTTGTTTGCTTTGTTTTTGTTTGTTTCTTATCTTTTCTTTTTGGCACTCTGTTCCAGTCCTTTCCAACATTTTGGCCCTTATGATATAACTTTTGGAAATAAAATATATCTGGTCAGTTTTTGTTTTGTTTTATTAAAACCTTATTTATTTTAATTCATTTTATGTCTTTTACATCCTGTATCTTTAGCCCATTCATTTCCCCTTCCTTTTGCATCTGCCCTCTGCTCCACACTCCTCCCCAAATAAAGCAAAATTTAAGAAAAAAAAAGTAAAAGATATTTTTTAAAAGGGAAACAATTTAAAATCTTGTCACGGAAGCTACAGTGTGATACAGTGAGTCATGCCACAGTGTACACAATGAGTCACACCATAAACCCCTTTGTCCATATATCCCTTCTTGCACGTGTTCATTGCAAAGAGTCATTGGTTTCTGGTGTCTACTACACTATCAATGCTGGGCCCTCACTGGGAGTCCTCTTGGAGATCCTGTTGTAGCCCTGTGTTGTGGAGATCCTGCAGCTTTGGGTCTGTGGATCAGGTCCGTTCACATGCTCCATCTGGTCATAGGTGGGCTGGTTGTTGGGGTAGGCCAAGTCATACCTGTAGATCTGGGCAGCTGTAGGGTTGGTCAGCCAGATGAGAAATGGGGACAGCTCTGCCAGGTTTACAGCTTTGGGGCTTGCCCACCAACACCTGTGATAATAGGGTTGGCTCTCCTGCTCTTCTGACCCAGGTGTTGGTAGGTGGGAGGGAGCAACTCCCCTGCCCACATCTCCACAAGACAGATGTGCAATGGAGACATATTTCCCATGCTCACATATGCGCTAACCAGCTTGGCTCTATTGTGCTCCCCTGGCGAGATGCATGGCCCGTTCTCACATCTGGGCAAGCCTGTCATAGAACTAGCTCTTGTATACCAGGCTGGCCTTGAACTCACTGAAATCCGCCTGTCTCTGCCTCCCAAGTGCTGGGATTAAAGGCGTGCGCCACCACCGCCCAGCTGTGTTCAGTTTTCTTACCGCTGCCTTCATCAAATAGCATTAGCTCACTTACATTTATTATAATTGAACAACATTTTCATGAGTGGCATATTTTGAATGCATATTTTACATTTCCCCCTTTTTAATATATTACCCTATAGTCTGTATTAATTGTAGTCATGGTTCATTTTGATGTGACATTTGTTTGTATGATATCCTTGGTTCCCATCTCAGGAACAGTGGCTGCATGCTTTGTTTGTGGCAGGTTACCTGGACCTAACTCCTATCTCTGACTTGTTCTGCCCGTTGTAGCCATGCCTGCATTTCATGATCTATAAGGGGGGTGCTAATGAAAGTGTCCATGTGCATCAAGCTGAGCATCCACCCCATCTAGCCACTGGCGTTAGCAAGCATGGAAGCTCTTCCTAGGATTCTCACAGTCAACATGCAGTCTCTTCTGCTGCAGCAAAATGCCTATATGGAGAATTGACTGAATTTGATAATTATAATTACAAAGTATTTTTAATCAGGAAAGCCCTCTACCCATTTAGTAAAGTATCTGTAGTATTGTATAATTCTTGCATATTTAAATATAGTAATCACATGTGCTGGAGTCTCTCGTTACTGTAGCAAAGATGGGCAACTGGCCTCACTTTGCTTAGGGTGTGGCAGCTGATGTATAAAGTCCTGTGCCATTGGATGTATTTATGTTCTATTTCTTCATAACTAAAGATGTAAAACTTTTCATTATATAAATGACACTATATTCAATGGGTTGTCCAATTACAAAAATATTTCACATTTTCAGCTCAAAAAATCATCTTCTGTGGCCTTTCTGGTAATTTCACACATTTTATTTCCAGAGACAAATGTTCTACTGAGCAGCTTACAGGCAGAGTGTCCTCATGACAGCAGCTGTCTGAGCGCCTGTCCAGTCAGGCGCTGGGAGAAAGCCCGCGCCCTCTCAGAGAGAGACGAAGGGAGACACTCATTAATGCGCCCCAGTGGGGCTGCGTTCAGGGGAATCCTGTGGAGTGTAAACTGAGTTTTGATGGAAAGAACTCAGCTCTCAGGTCTTCTGCTGATAGAATATTTCTTGGGGCTTATGTAGTGAAGCTCTTTCATGCTACAAACCAGCAAATGCTTAAATCTAGCCCATTCACACAAACCTTGCATATTCTTGCATAGAGAAATAGGAGTCACACTGGAGAAATATTTATATTAGCTGTCTGAGCGCAGAACTGTATTTAATCCCACATCAGAATAATACATGGGACTTTGAATGTAAAGAAATGGTTCACTTTACGCTCCTAAGGAGAGTTGAGCAGGTGGGTGATGCGCACAGGGCTATGTCTCTACAGACAACTCTGTTCTGTGGCCTTCTATGATTTTGTATGCTACCAAGAACTGAAGCCCCTGAAGTTAGAGTGGTAACCACGTCAAGTTATTTCTAAAATCATTTTTTACATTTTTATTCTTTCCATAGATTTAATCAGATTTCCATTTTCGTATTAAATGCAGATGCAGCATGCATTTTGTGATCTCATTAAAGAACCTCAGCCCCTACTCCCCGTCATGAAACACGGAAAGCCTTTTAGTGCCCTGGGCACTGGCGTGACTATCTGAGGCAGGGGATGGCTCAGTGGGGCGATCTGGGTGGCTTCAGTTGTTCTTGTGGTTCGAGGCATGGCTTTGAGGAAATATCAAGAGTCCTGTCTCGAGATGGCATGCAGCCCGAGATCCACCATGCGCGATGTGGATTATGATACACGGGAGCTGCGTTGAAGTAAAAAGCTGAGTTATAGGAAGTCCTACTACCGGGGAGTCATCGGGCGGGTGCTGTGAGTTCGAGGAGAGCTTAGCTATGCCCCTGGGCTGGAGCAGGAGCTCAACAATGAGAGAGCTGCAGGACAAGGCAGAGTTGTTTCCTCAGCTGAAGCGCGGCGAAGGCTGCTGGCTCACCTGTGGTTTCCTGTCTCTGGATCTGACTCGGTGATTCCACATCTACAGCTTCTGCCTTCCCTGTTACCTGTTTTAAGTTTTTGGTGGGATTTTCTGTCTTTCCAGTATGCTCTCTCTAGGAGCTGTTATAATGCTCGATGCCACGTGGGAAACAGTGCGTTAACAAATAGAATGCATTAGACAAACCGGACTCTGTCTTCCCACAGGCACCGATGTTGAAACCAGCTCTGAGTAGAAAGCTGCTCTTGAACCCGACATACGTACAATTAGTTTTTTGTCGGGGGCATGGATAAACATTAATTTATTAATCCATTTCATCTATAGTTAAAGTATACAGGATTGTGCAGCGGTGCACACATACCAAGAGAGTTTATAAACATGTCTCCACTATTTTAACTAATGCTGCAGTGACCGTGGAGGAAGGGAGCGAAGGGGAGAAAAGACTTCGGCTCTCTACAAAGGGCTGATTTCATTTGGTCAGGGAGGAGACCCACGCCTGGGTCATTTTTCGGTTTCTCCACCGTACTGTCCTCTGTGGAGACCATGCTGATTTATGTTCCCCCTGACAACATTCACGAGCGCTGCCCGTCTCTGTCATCTCTCGCCCAGGGTGATATCCACCTAACAGACCTGAAGGCCCGCCTCATTGTGGGTTTTAGTGCTATTTCCTGATTATTAGAAGTCTGAATATCTGCTTGACAGCTTTAGTCTAACGTGGGGAAAGATGCTGATTTACAATAACTCTTTTTGCTCTACTTCCTTGCCAAAACTTGGTTTGCTCTTGCTGCTGAGTTGTGCCAGCACCTTATATATTTTGGGTACAGACCCCGATATTTTCTCGGTACCCACGTGTTGTTGCTTTGCTCCGTGGATGCCTCTTCTTCAGATGCTCTTCCTCTGGCCACTTTTACATTATTTGTCTAAGTTTTCATGAAACCATTGCATGGTCTGTTCCAGGACATCCTCCATATACTTGTTGGACCTCGGGTCCTGTGCTTAGGTGTTCAATCCGTTTGCGTTGATTTTATATGTGCTAGAAGGTAGAAGCAAATTTCAGGTTTTTTCAAGCATTACCTAGTTTCTCCAGCACCATTTATCAAAGGGACTTCTTCTACCCATTGTGTATTTATGGTTCTTTCATCCATCAAAAGCTGGCCAAGTGTCTATGCCTGGGTTTGCTCCTCAACTGAGTCAGGTGATACCTTCGCCTCCATCTCAAAGATCTCAAAACCGAAGACTGGTGAAACAATAAAGTCCCCTTGGCTGCAAAATAAGTCTAGTGGGAAATATAACCAACAGGGTTAGGGGGTAAAAATGTTAGAAGAATTCATAATTGGAAACGTGTGGCATAGAATTTGTACTAGTGAAGTAAGGATCTTTACGAGATAGTACGGGACGAAATGATTTGGGTGGTTTCAGAGAATTTTGAACTGAAGCTTAATAATAGATGCTTTTATTGAAAATTATTAAATTACAATGGAAATTTTATATTTTATTTCTAATCATACTTTAGTTAAGTATCAGGGAATTTCTTTCCTATTATCTAACAAAGAAAGCAATAGTAGCTAACAATCTAAGAGCTTTGGGGGAGGGTCTGCCAAGCCTTTATCACAGGGTGGTAATTTCTGTATGAAATATATGGGAAGTTCTATGCTAGCTCCATTTTCTGGTCAATTTTTAGATGAGTGACATCTACATATATGGAAAAAACAAAGTATTTTTTATAGAAAAGGGTAAAGCAAAAATGTAATGCATTCAAAATTTTTAAATATTCAAAGTGCCACCCCTGGTACACACACACACACACACACACACACACACACACACAATATTTGAATGTGATCCCATTTAAATGTGGTCCCATTTTACAGTGAAAAATATGTGGGAATTAATTTTGCCATAATCTTCTTGAAGTATGTAAAATAGGATTTTTATTCCAGAAAATTGTTGATCTGGTCAAAGCACTTGTGAAGAAGAATCAAAGAATTTATAGCCAAATATATGGTCATGTGCAAGTTCCAAACTATTTGCTTTCCTTAGTAATAAAATCAGAAATAGTGACAGCTGCCCTAATAATCTCCAGGAGGTTGAAAAATATGTAAACAGCTCAGCATATCTGGAAGGTTTTTCTGAGAATATGAAATATTATAATAGAAAGCATAATTGTTTCAAGCAACGATCAAAACTGCTTCAAAACAGATACACGTTTTTGCAATATATGTTGTTTTTATTTTTAAGTAAAGATACAGTTTTAAGTAAAAATGTGCT